AATAGTTTTAACAAAGTGCGTAAACCATATCTGGGTTTTATCGCTTATCAAAAACACGCCACATTTCAGAACGTGCCAATAAATAAATTCATATGTATCTTGGGAAATTTTGAATAAAAAAATCTAGTGTTTTGTAGGTATGCCAAGAAACATGTGTATTTTAAATGGATGATAAAAAAATTTATAAACTTACAGAAGTTTTCGAAAACCTGGAAAACAACAAAAAAATACAAGTTTTAAAAATATATTTGAAAATATTTGCGAATTTGACTTGGCTTCAATTTATTTTTGAACTGTAAAGAAGAAATCAAGTAAGTTCAATAAAAAAGAGATGTTACTAAATATACACCAAATTCAATAACACTGAGGAGCTAAAATTTTGAAAGCTAATTTTTAAAAACTACTCGTGCAATTTTTTAGCTTAACTTGAGTCGTAGAATCAAAATATGAAAAAGAAATCGATATATCGTTTCAGAAAATGTCTGATTTGGGACCAAAGTACCTATATTTTAATAATGCTATATATAAATCTGATATATATATTATCAGGTTCAATGTTCCGTCTAACGTTTTTGAATTAACTTAAGGTATGAGAATGCTGGCTATTCATAAGATGCCTCATGTGTTATGTAGTGAAATTCGAGAATTTGCTGGCGAGAGGGTTAGTATCTTAATTAAAATTATTAGGAAACTAGAATTATTCTAGTGTAATTTTGTTTCTTTATTATTTGATTTAATAGGGGTTTTATTTCATTAAATACTTATCTGAAAACCAGTGCTTCAGTATTACTTTTTGTTAATTTCTTATTAAAAAATAATGATAAAAAAAAGTTTTTTTTTTTTTTTTTTTTCAAAAGAACTCGGGGGAGCTTAGCAATTACCTGCGCCATTTCGTGTTCTCGGGATCTTGAAATGTTCGAGAACATTCCGTATTGTCTTATCTTGCTGTGGGGGGAAATTGAACAAAAGTCAAGGGTTAACGCTAGGTTACGCGGGAAGGTGAACGAGGTGGAGATAGCTGTGTCCAGTTTTGGCTTCCTGGTTTACTGGCCGCGCCTGCGCAAGGGCTGGTTTTTGACTGATTTTGTGGAAAAATGGTATTAGTCGTGTTTAGGGGCTGTGGAATTCTGGTATCCTGGTGAAGTCTGCTTTCGTACCTTTTTCGAGAAGTGTCTACCGAGCTAAGTATATATTAAGTATTAATATTCTTTCTATCTTGTTCTGAGTCTGCCTAACGGATTGATTTTTGATGGACAGCTAATTTGTTGAGTTTTCCTGATTTATGAATGTAACCCTCTAAACATTTCCTAAGGACTCATTTGAATTAATATTGAAATGTCAAAAGTGTTAACCATGGTTTAAACTTATATAATAAATCGAAATAGTAAGAGCAGAGTTGAGTGTGTTAACTGTTTATTTTCTTTTTATTTATTATGTGTTCTCATGATTGCAACTGGTTCATTTATTTAATGGTTACATGTTATTACTTCAGCATGTTTAGCTTAACGTTTAAGTATTTTACTTTAATTAAGTGTATGGTCATTAAGCTAGAATTCAACCCGAACAAAAATCAATCACAACGCAATAGCCCACATTCTCGGTTTAATTAAAATTGTATGATAGATTTCGTTATAGTATTTAGAACTATCAATATTAATACTTATTTTAAGTGTTTGCTCATTTCAAGTACCCTTATTTTTCCAATGGTATCTTTATTATTTAAAATATTCAACCAATTTGTGAGGAGTTTAACATATTTAGCACCGTGTCAAGTTCTAAGCAAGACAAAAATGGGCCCGTTAAGAGTAATATCTAACAAAATATGATGTCGTGAAAGCCCCATTTAACATATGACAATATTTAGCTACAGACAGATTGGAAACAGTGCGTGCGTGTTCAAACCAAAATTCTTTTGAACCTGCATTACTATGTAAATAAACCGATGTTTCTCTTTCAAATAAATTACGTTTTGTAATGTTTACTTTCTTCCCACATTTCGGCAAAATTCGTTTAATGTATGATCGGATTTCAAAGAGACGGTAGATGTTTGAAAGGCTTTTGCATTTCATAATTAGACTTTAATAAATGAAATGGAAGAATTCGAAAAATTCTGATCTTCATATCAGTATTTGATTCTAAATGCAAATCTTTATTAAGATATATCTGTTAGTAATATTTTGATCTGATACCTAACTTTTACATCTGCATGAATTTGGTTTCTGGTATAGTAGATTATTTTTGCACATTTTTCTTTCCATAATTTACATTGTAACATTTCCTAAATTTCACAAAACAATATAATATTATATGCTCATCAAAGATTCAAATGTATAATAACCGAATCCATTCTAGTTGAAGCACAATGTTGAGCTAAAACTCGTCGCAAGAGAAGTTCAGAAAATCTAACAGTTGTATAACATTTTAACAACACGCTGGATATCGGATAGAGCCATCTTGTGCTTCCTGTGTGGGCCGTAGAGTGGCGTTCCATTCCTTGCCACCATAGTGTTTTTTTTTTTGCCATCTATAGAAAAATATTTATTTCCATAGATCATGATGGATTTATAGTCGAAAGGTGTCAACAGACGGCTTACCTTTGGTGACAGTAAAGCAAAATTCCTCTGCGTACCTACCAGAAAAAGAAGTATTATCAATGATATATTTGCCCATTAACGCATATATGTATTTTTGAAAATTTCAAAAATTAATTCTGTAATTGCAGACTTTTGCATACCTTTCTCAATATTATTATGATATATTATCAGGTATTTATCTCTATCTGATCTATTATGCTCATGGTAAAATCCTAAAGTATATCCTATTTCGTGAATGATCGTTCCCATCTTCATGCAACCTCTACCTAAAGATATTTGTTGCTGACGTTCTATTCTGCCGATGAAGGAAAAACATCTATTGGATGCAAAATTTACAAAATTATAATAAAAATATTATAGGCATAAAACATGCATCATATTAGATGTTATGCTATGCGGCAAACAATTTTTATGTTACCGACGTTTATAATATGTGGCTTTAGAAGTGACTTTTATTATTCAAATTAATGATTTCTATGAAAGGTATTTATTCGGTAATGAAAATACTCTTAAAAATTATTAATTTACTTTTGTTATAAATTATAGCTGTTATACAGAAACTTTGATATAAAGATTAATTTATTGAGATGATATTGTTGAGCTTTAGAAAATGGTAGTATAAATCCTATGGCTCCATTTATAGTAATAATGGATAATCATTTGATGAATAGTTGCCTTTCACATTTTAAGCCAAAATGAGCAGTTCCCAAACGGAATAGCAAATTTTGCATCCCGGAATGAAACTGAATGATTTGAACTTTATCAACTGCATGAAACCGTGAAATTTGAATTTTCAGTTATATTACAAACGCTGATTTCAAATAATGAGAGTAATAAGCCATAAATAGAAGAGACGTATTTGAGCGCAAAAGAGGATAACGTATTTCAGCTCATCTGACTGGCAAGTCATGTTGACCTTTCCAGTCCCCCAGTATCCAGAATCATGTCTGTGTATCTAGAAAGAATATCATTCAATCGGAGTAGATGCAGCTGAAAAAGGCAGCTATCTGTGAAAGGTGTTAAATATTAAAAAGTACTGTAGGAAAAAAAAATTAAACCGTGTAAACATCTTCTGTTTAAATTTTACTAACAGCTAGCTTTATGTTTATTTCTAGCCTATATTTCTTGTTTCGTAACGATACTCCCTCAGACCAGAGGTTTATACGAACAGTACGACAAGCGCCATAAACAGAAGCTAGAATGTGATCTTCACCGTGAATGAATTGAAACTAATTCCATAACGCTGCTGTAAAGCTCTTGAAGAGTAGAAATAGAGCTGCTGCAAAAAGTTCCGTAAATGTTAAGACATCAGTTAGTTTTCCGTTCTGACTCAAGGAGTGCTGTGAATTTAGGTAAGCGCTGTTTTTATACTCACATTCCAATTTTAGCATGTTGTAGCAATTTTAGCAATTATGCCAAACTACCAAATTTTGTTAAAATCGCACGAATAGTTTTTTAAAAATTTGCTCCCAAAATTTTAGTTCCTCAATGCTAATTGAATTTGATATATATTTATTAATATCTGTTTTTTTCCTTCTTCCAGAATTCGAAATTTTAGGTTTAATTCAAATATAATTCGCAAATTTTTTATGATTTATTTAAAAATTTGTATTTTTAAATATTTTTTATAAATTTTTCGAAAACATTTTTGTATTATAACCTATAAAGATTTTCGAATCATCTTAAAGTAGATGTATTTCTATGCATATCTGCAAATTATTGGAGTTTTTATTCAAAATTTCCTAAGATATACGTGAATTTACATTTTAGCTCGTTTTAATATTTCGCGTATTTAATATAAGCGATAATGACGGAAATGTGCTTTACGCACTTTGTTAAAGTTATTTGAAAGAACGAACGACGGACCTTTTTTCTTCTCGCACATCAATGAAAAATAAGGAAAGTAAGTAGGTTACTATAAATTAAGAATTCCGTCAAGTGAATTACTCTTGGCGCAAAGTGAAAAAAATCCACCAAATTAAATTTTTAAATTTCTCACGAAAAATTTCCAAATTTAATATCTAGGCATAATTTGAGTCGTAGAATCGAAATATGAAAAAAAAAATTATATGTTATTTCAGGAAAAGTCCTATTTTGTGTCAAAATACCTATGTTAAAACAAAGCTATATATAAATCTAATATACAGGGTGATTATAATTAAAGTTTAAGTTTCAAAACGCTATAAAAAAAGAACCATTCATGAAAATGACGTCAAATTTGAAAGGAATGTTATTGAAGAAGGCGGAAAGCGTATGGCAGAAGAAAAAATTTAGTTTCAAAAGTTACCAACAGATGACGCTGCAAGCGGAAGAAGACGTAAATTAAAATGTTAGTTAAATTTCAGTCTTATAAAGCCGCCAGGTACCAGGCTGTTTCTCATTTCGTGTCTCAGGACGTTCGCCATGGGCGTTTCACTGCAGGACCGCGCTCTGCTGGTAAAGCTGTATTACAAGAATGATGATTGTGCAAGAGTAGCTCTGCAAAAATTCAGGACACTGAAGGGTATAAAAGAAGGCGTTGGTCCAATGAGTGTCGTAGGTCTAAAGAAAATGATGCAAAAATTCGAAACGACAGGTACGAAACATCCTGCAATGCTATCCGTACAAAATTGGCCATGTGCAGGAGTTGCTTCCTTCTGACCTGACAGCTAGGGAGACGTTGGAAATTTTCCACGGCCATTCATTATCCACTTTCCATATGACCATATGACCATAAGCCCATTTCCATGTTCATTTCTTGCCAGAATGAAATTTCTGTTTCACGTGATATGCAACGTAGGGTAGAAATATATTATTTAAGCTGGTGTCTGGATTTCTTCAGATTGAGTGTGTTCTGTCCTTCGACCACGTTGTTTAGCTGATTTAGGCTTGCCATTTTAGGACCGTACATATTAATTGCTGGTTTGTGTACGTCGGTGGTAGGGTTAAGAGCCAACTCGCGTTAATTATCTCTGTGCAGCTTTGGTGGATTATTTAACTTGGTTTTAAATATTATAATTCTATTTTGAGTTGGAGTCAAAACCAGCATTAGCTCAGTTTGTAAGCATCAGAAGTGCCGTCTGTAAACTCCTTCTTCATTTGAATAAAAGGATTTTTTCACCCTTTTTCTAGTCATTGATACAGTTTTACCTTTAGACTGTGTTGTTACCTTTAGACTAATAGCAAGTATCATTTTGAAAACAAACATTTAGTTTTAACTTAACCAGCTTTATTTAGTTACTTATCTTCTTTATTTTCCGTCATGTTCATTTCTTGCCAGAATGAAATTTCTGTTTCACGTGATATGCAACGTAGGGTAGAAATATATTATTTAAGCTGGTGTCTGGATTTCTTCAGATTGAGTGTGTTCTGTCCTTCGACCACGTTGTTTAGCTGATTTAGGCTTGCCATTTTAGGACCGTACATATTAATTGCTGGTTTGTGTACGTCGGTGGTAGGGTTAAGAGCCAACTCGCGTTAATTATCTCTGTGCAGCTTTGGTGGATTATTTAACTTGGTTTTAAATATTATAATTCTATTTTGAATTGGAGTCAAAACCAGCATTAGCTCAGTTTGTAAGCATCAGAAGTGCCGTCTGTAAACTCCTTCTTCATTTGAATAAAAGGATTTTTTCACCCTTTTTCTAGTCATTGATACAGTTTTAAGAGAGCGAGTAATGGCTTTAGAGTTCAAGTAAAGATCTAGACAGCAAAGTAAAGGTAGCATAGATATGATCTTAAAATTTGCCTAAATGAAATGATCAAATTCAATCTTTTCCTGCTGCTCAACATCTTAAAAAGTATCAGCAATTATTAGAATTAAGTAATTTACATTATAAGTCATAAAATGTTTTCCAACTTTTAATATATTGTTAGCGACATATTGGTGATAATTTAATTTTTTAGAGTACTATTTACTGTAGCAAAAATATTATTGCACTGAAAATTTGGTAATGCATTTCACAATTTGTTAATGCCAAATTGGTAATGCTTTGTCTGTGTATATGAGTAATGTAAAGAGGAATATGTCCAGAACTAAAAAACATCTGGAACGTATATTGTCCGGAAGATTAAGTTGTGCAAGTCGTAGCAATGGGTGTTTACAAAGCTCAATTTAGATTTCTTTTATTTAATGTTTAGCACATTAAATTTCGCTCATTGCATTTGTATTCAAAAGCATACAATATATATTTTGTCCTTATGGACTTTATGTGTGAATAATGAATACAAGCTAATTATGGTCCAAACACAGGTATAAAAACTATATTATATTTTACAAATATATCTAAATATAGTATTTATACCTGTGTATATGTATAATAGTTATTCATATGTATAATAGTATTTATAATAGTATTTATACCTGTGTACCATGATATTAGGTAACATGTATGATACTTAATAAAAAAAATAATAGTGCTCAAAAATAGTAATATTTTTTATATGGTGGCGCTTAGTATGTTATACGATATTTTGTTGATTTCTCTCAAATATTATTGTTTTAACCTGAAAATTTAAAAAAACATTTTATTTATTATAATTAGAATGAGAATCAAACTGATGATCCTTCGAAAATTAAATTTTACCCTTAAATTTTCTGAAGATTTCATTTACCGTATATGCTGTATTATCATAACTACACTGGTGTGCAAAAATTAAGGACGAGACGGTTTTTTCAATATAACTTAAAAAAGCTACAAAGTACAAAAGCTTTCCAAATCAACACATTTAATACCGTAATATCCCCAATACGTAAGGACATGAGTAATGTAAGCAACACTTACTAAAAGAGAAATCAGAGGGATAAAAAGAAGTTTTATTGAAAAAGTAGCATGGAGCGCAATGCGACTGAAGGCCGAAATATCCCTGTGATGGGTGTCCAGCAAGAAACATCCGGTCTTTAATAGGGGATATGATCTTCCCTGACTGCTAGGCAGGTTTCACAGCGTCTGCCCATGCTGAGAATGAGGGTGTCAATGAGTTGTTGAGGCATTGCTGCCCATTCGTCTTGCAGCGCCAATCGAAGCTCCGGAATCGTTACTGGTGGTAAGGTACGAGCTGCCAAGCGTCTGCCTAGAAAATCCCATACATGCTTGATGGGATTGAGATCCGGAGATCGTGCCGGCCAATCCATACGTTCAATATCCTCACTCTCTAAGAGCTGTTCGGCAGCTACTGTGCGATGACATGGTGCATTGTCGTCCATGAAAAGGAACTGCGGACCCATAGCGCCTCTAAAAAGACGCACATACGGAAGAAGAATCGCGTTACAATAACGGGTCCCGTTGACTGAACCTGCGTCGAAGATGTGAAGGTCTGTACGACTACCAAGCATGATGCCTCCCCAAACGAGAACACTGCCACCTCCATACCTGTCCCTTTCAATGATGTTCGAGGGATGATTGCGGCTTCCCCGCTCTCTCCAGATGAATATGCGATGAGAATCGCTACTCAGACTGAATCTGCTCTCATCTGTAAAGAGTACTCGTCCCCATTCATTGTCTCTCCAATTCCGGTGTTCCCGGCACCACAGAGAACGCCTTCTCCGATGGGCAGGCGTTAGAGGTACACACCGTACAGGGCGTCGTGCAAACAGACCACCACCGTGCAGTCTTCTGGTCACGGTAAAACGCGATATCGGCCGTCCAGTCGCCTGTGTCTAGCGATTTCTCCCGCTGTCTGCGCCTGCTTCTTCTGGCCTGTAAGGCAATATATCGGTCATCTGCGGGTGTGGTTCCTCGTGGACGACCACTACTAAACCTCCGGATAGCTGTTCCTGTAGTTTGAAATTGTCTCCAAAGTCGTGAAACGATGCTGTGAGCAATTCCGAACTCTGCAGCCACACTTGTCACACTGCGGCCTTCCTCCAACTTCCCAATGATTCGACCTCGGGTAAAAGCATCCAGATGTCGTCTAACAGATTGATTATTCGCCATTTCTCGCTGAGGCAGCAACTCGGTGTGATTTTAACTGCTATACGGCGTGCAATCTCTTTGCCAGAAATACTGATCTTACACCGACAACATGCTTTATACTACTCAGGCACTCCCCCATTACGTCTACCTGCATATCTGCGCATGTGCTACCGTAGATCACCTTACTTAATCTCCTGACTGGTCTTTCTGTCTGCTCTGCCTCTTCGTTCAGCTGATATGCTAATTTTTCGACTTCGTCCTTAATTTTTGCACACCAGTGTATACTATACAAATACAATAACTAAGTTCAGCTGGATGAAGAAATAACTTACTTAACGATCATGTTACATTAATGTACTTGCATGCTCGTATTCGATTTTAAAACGGATGCAATGATTTTTTAACCCATTAGCGCTCAGTGTCCTCATTTGAGGACGCTGTAAAAAATTGTTAATCCCTGCATTAAATTAAAATATTTTTTTTATATGTACAATTTGGTCCGATAGATGACATCACCATACAATGGGAGATGTGCAATTATTTTGGAACTAAGTAAAATTGCGCGGGAAAGATAAAGTATAATTTACCCGTTTTTTGGTAATCGCGTTGTTTATTTTATGTTCCACTGTATGGCACTGAATTTATGAGGTAAATTCTTTCAATTTGTTATAAATATAATTTAGATAGCCCATATTGTGTCATTAGCATGTTTGTTAATATTTATTGCTGTAAATATATCCGTAATAAACAGGAAAAACATATCCGTCCTCGTTTGAGGACACTGGGCGTTTGGGTATAGTTTTTATGCAGTATTCAGATTTATTTTTAAGTGTTTGTTACTTTTGTTGCAGAAAAACTATATAATAAATTTTGAAAAATGGAGTAGAAATAAAATATTTAAAAGCTTAGAAGAGGCGACTGCTTATCTTTTTTTCTGAAGAAATAGAAGCAGATATTATATCGATGCCTCCGGATGTGGATGAGCTAACAGATGAAGAGCAATTCGATGATGATAATTTGGGTACTCCAGTTGTATCAGATGTTGCAGGTACATTAGAAATTACAATGCCAGATGATAATGATAACCCTATTATTTCGGATAAGAAAAAGGAAAACAATTCCCGTAAACGTAAAAGAGAGTCAATTGTATGGACGAATGAAAGCCCGGCTTACACATTTGGGGAATTTGGAAAATTTGTCCAAGAGAAATTCTGATATATTGACAGCGCAAACTAATAATATGAGTCCAGTTGAGCTGTTTGAAGAATTCTTTACTGAAAGTGTTTATGATATGATCGTAGAGGAAACTAATCGATATGCTCACGAAATGAAAAATAAATTGAATTATAATGTGACTAAAGATGAAATAAAAACATTTATAGGATTTCTGATACTTTCGGGCTATCATACTTTACCCAGTGAACGGGACTACTGGGCAGAAGCAGATGATTTAGGAGTGACAATAGTGAAGAATGCTATGACTAGAAATTTCTACTTAGAGCTCAAAAGATTATTGCATTTCCAAGATAATAAATTACATCAATATAACAAGAATGATAAATCGTTTAAAATACGTTCTTGTTAGAAATGCTTTCCAAGAATTTTCAAAAATGGGGCATTTTCCATGAAAATTTGTCTGTTGATGAAATGATCGTCCGGTATTATGGTCATCATACACTGAAACAGTTTATAAAATCTAAACCTATTAGATTTGGGTATAAACTCTGGGCTCTGTGTGGCAACGATGGATACTGTTATAACTTTGCACTGTGTTGTGGAAAGGAAACAAATACTTCCGAATCTGACAAACTGCCTTTAGGTACAAAAGTGGTGCTAAATCTACTATCTATTGTAGAAGATCCGAAGAGCCATCGTGTTTATTTTGATAATTTTTTTACCAGTCATGCGTTACTAAAAAAACTGAAAGAACTGAAGTATGAACTGAAGTCATGAAAATGAGTAAGAAAGAGAGAGGGTTTTCGATAGTAAATTTGACACAACAAATGAAATTCTTGTTGTCAAATGGAAAGACAATAAGTGTGTTTCATTGGCCACTAATTTTGACACAATAATGCCGCTATCTTCAGTACAAAGATGGAGTGTAGAGAAAAAAGAAAAGGTGAAAGTAAATCAGCCTCATGCTATAAGTTCTATACCTCATTTTTTATTTATGGGGGGTGTCGACCTTCATGATTGGCTTCTTGAGAAACATTCTATAGCCATACGAGGAAAGAAATGGTATTTTTTGTCTTATTACTAGGATGATAGATATGGCTGTTGTAAATGCCTATCTCATTTATAAAAGGATCCATCGTTCAATGTCAATCAAAGATTTTAGGAGATACATTGCAGTAACCTATATTGAAAAAAGGAGCCGACTCAAAAAGAAATCCTAGGAAGAACAGTACAAAGGAGGATAACATGCAGATCGATCGAACGTGCTTCTGACTGACATAAAATTTGACAAATACAAAAGCATGTTATTGGTAAAAGAGATAAACAAAGGCGTTGCCAATATGACAATTGTGCCTCAAAGCCAAGAACATATTGCATGAAATGCAATGTAAACATTGTGCATTCAATGCTTTCCTCTTTTCCATAAAAAAATCTATCTTAAAAATGTAAAAAAAAAAAAGTTTTCTTACACGTCTTAAAATAAATTTTGATTTTAAACATTATTTTGTCTATTAGTTTGTTTATATATTAAAACTAAATCATTTTATGTAAAAAATTTTGATTTTTAAAAATTTACATTTTTATATACAAACGCCCAGTGTCCTCAAATGAGGACGGCTTAAAAAATATGGTTGCAGTTGCAGTTAAATTTTTCAAAATGCTTTTGAAATACTTTTAATTTATGCATTTCTAACAATGTCTATCAATTTCAAGGCAAAATTTCAAGAATTGTTAATTTGGGCGTTAATGGGTTAAGTAAGTTAGAAAATTTCAATAAATAAATTTATAATTATAAAAATATTATTATTTTAATTTACAGGAAAGTGATTATCAAATGTCGGAACTGGTATGCATTATGGTCTTCCTTTATTTAGATTTTAAAATGAATAGACCAGCATATTAAGTCTATTCTGAAATGGTGGCAAATGGTCAAAACTTCAGTTAAAACGTTTATTCTGAGTGCGCTATTAATTACTAATAAACAAAAGAACACTTTTTGGAAAAATTTGACTCAGTGAAACTTAATTTTGGCAGTAATTCTGTCAATTAATAAGGCATGTGCCACCCAGACGTTATAGTGGTTAGGGAAGTCTGACTGCGATACCGAAGGACCCAGGCTCGAATCCCGGAGAAGGCAAAGGATGTAAAATGCTCTGTCCTTTTAATAGGAGGTAACGGTGACTGCCTATTAGGTGCCTTCGCAACAAAATGGCCACCATTTCTGGCCTTAGGTTTGTCTAATGCCGTTATAGGTAAGTGCCCGTTATTGGAAAAAATAAGGCACGGAATAAATGCGTTTTCTTCAAGTCAGATATGGTATGAGTAATATTTAAAAATAGGATTTTAAGTAATATGTTCTCAATTTCAGAAGCCTTATGAATGGTAAACTGTTATTAATACATGAAATAGGATCTTCGTATTTTCGGAATATCAATTTTGCAAATTGTTGGCAATTTTTCCTACGCATTTTAAAATTTTCTTGGCAAAGAGAATTTTACGTTTATAAATTATGGTAATTTAAATACAATAAAATACGGAAATAGAAAAACTTTTAAAAACTATATTATTTCATCACACCTTCAAAAATTTTAATTTTTACGTTTTTTGATAAGAAGCAGTAAAACGGCTAAGTTTTAAAAAATATAAATAATAATTCAAGGAAAATTTTATTTAATACATATTTATGGAATATTCCTTATAAAATTAACTTTGTAATACTTTTAAAGTCATATTTTTTTTTCTCTTTTGGAGAAAGAGAAATGCCTTCGCGGGGACTCTAACCTGGATCTCTCGAATATGCATCGAGTGTGCTGCCGTTACACCACGAGAGCGTGCTAAAATGAGGGAGGATGTACCTTATAATATATTTTAATATCTTATGCAGTTAAAATATATATAAGTGATACTTACATCTGGGCTGTCAATCCCAGCAATATCTTCACCAAATAAATTAGGATTCTCTAAAGCAGTGCGCTCGATCTCTGTAACAGGATAATAATGTCCTGCATTAAATTGTGAAATCTATTGCATTTCATACGAGTAACGGAATAAAGCATAAAATGTATTGCACATTATTGTATACAAGTGACTCCTTAGTTTTAAAACAGTAGTAAGCAGAACAGGAAAAAAATATGTTAAATACATTTTATCTGTTGCTGAAACTCTGCAAAAGAAAAATGCGCATTTTTTAACAAAACTTTGCTATTTTTCATTGGCAAAAGATTTTATTAGAATTTGTATCATTAGAATAATTCATAAAATACATTTCTTGAGGCGTGCGAAAATAAATCCCGTGTAAGATTTTCGCTAGTGCAATTCTCAATTACTGTAGAAAGTGACGAATCTTAAGAAATAGTTATCGAACAATCGCTTAAGTTCGTGTGGCAAGAAACAACAAGATGGAAATGTAACTAACCCTTTATTATTCCAATAAGATTTAAGAAAACTCCGTCTTGGAGTGTACAATCAAAGCCGACACTTGGGCTTGAATTTAAGAGACTGAGAATTAAACTAAAACTAAGATTAATTAAAGAAATATAGCCGAAGCTATTAACATTCTAATCGAGTTGGCTTCTTAACTTTGCATTTGACCACGAAGCTTATCAAGGGCCAGATGATTGCGAAGCTGAGCGTAAGTAACAAGCTTTGAGAAGAGAGAGAGTGTAGCCAAAAGGCAGACACGCGTAAATCAAGAAACTCTGATTCGCTCTCTCTCTAAGACCAAAGAACTTCGCGGTTAAATACCGCTCTTCCTCATTATGTATTCAGACGTAATTCTGAAACTACGTTCTGGTCGGAAGCAGTAAGTTGAAGTTAAGAATTTGACAGGAAAGGAACTTAAAATTTAACTGTTAATAAAATTAACATAATCCTTACACCCGTTATCGTAAGTGCATACGTTTTTCTCAAAGAGATGTCTATATTTTTATAATTATCGAAATAAAACTCAATTGTGGTATTTCTAATTGCGTAGCCTTCTTACGGATGCAAATACTTACATACTTCTTTCTTTATAAAAAAAAATAACTAAAACTTCTTACATTAGGTAGCTCGATTTGGTAAATAATACATTGTGTCCACAAAAATCCTTTTTCGGCCTTTTCTCTCTCAAGCGTTAGACGTAGACATACATTTTCATTTGCAAAAACCTTTTAAATTTCGTAAACATTCATACTTTGTTATTTTTAAATGTAAGTGATGAACTTCATAAAAATAGAAAAAGAGTCGCTTAAGTCATAAATCAATGAAGTAAAGAAGCTTCAGTAGAACAATAATGAATCGATACCTCAGCTGGTTATTACTATAATGTATAAAACCTCCTGATAGAAATGGAGATAAAATACTTAAACATAGGATGGATAGAATTTTGTACAATAATACAATACATGATAGCATTCGTAAATGCTACAGTTACGAACGACCTTAAAATAAAGACGAATATATTATGTATGAATACAGTTCTTGTTTACTCTTTCTAAACATATGATCATAAAAGATGCCTCTAAAAATATTAAACTATTTGTATCTGGTACTCTTATTTGGATGTTTGACTGATAACTCCTGATGTTCTCGCTCTCAACTTTTACATAACAAAAGAATTTCCGAAAAGTATCCTTAAATACGAGGGCTATCCAGAAAGTAGATTACGTTTCCGTCTGTGTCCGCTAGGGGCGGGGCTAGCGCGGCCATCTTGGGGTCAGAGCGTTGCGCAGCTCAGTCTGCATCTAGCCGTGCTAGTGAGAGGTTCGTGCTGTGCTCCGTTCAGATACTGTGACGGTTTGAAATGTCTGCGTTAATTGAAAATCCCGCGAGGTGCGCTCAGTAATAAGGTTTCTGACTGCAAAAAACTGTAAACCGATAGAAATCTATCGGCAGCTTCGTGAAGTGTATGGGGACAACATTATCACTGAAGGTGGAGTGCGTCAGTGGGTCATAAGATTTCAAAATGGCCGAACCAATGTTCACGACGAAGATCGAAGTGGGAGACCCAGCATAGTGACCGGCGAACTTCTCGAAAAAGTCGATGCTTAAGTCCGTGAAAATCGAAATTTCACAATAACGGAACTTTCTTTGAGTTTTCCACAAATTTCGCGAAGTTTGTTGCACGAAATCATCAGCGAAAAGCTTGGTTACCACAAGTTTTGTGCAAGATGGATTCCAAGAGATGCAAGAAGAGGTAACGAAGTGGTTGAAGGCGCAGGCGGCCGAATTTTTCGACGAAGGAATTTCCAAGCTCGTACATCGCTACGATAAATGCCTTAATTTGTATGGTGACTATGTAGAAAAGTAGTATTTTAGTGTGGCTTTCATCTGTATATAATAAAATTTGTTTCCTATACTTTGTTTATTTTTTTATTCCAAAACGTAATCTACTTTCTGGATAGCCCTCGTACATCTATTAATTTCTTTTCATTAAAAATTTTGAAATGTTTTAATAACAATTCTTAGTATAAAATAGAATTCTTTCCACCATTTGTATCAGAAGTACTATTGCATATTTATTGAATCTGGTAAGGCTTTTTTCTGTGAGTTTTCAAAATGTCCCACGATTCTGTGGTAAGTATAGATCTTGTTCAGACTTTAAAAATCAAACCTGGGCTATAAAATGTTTACTGGCATTAAATAATGTTAAAAACTTTAAAATTTAAGTATTGAAGCATACTACAAGGTAAACCAGTTATACATATATATATATGTATATATATATATATATATATATATGTATGTGTGTGCGTTATGTGTATATTTTTTATTGCAAAGGCACTTCATTATACATCAGAGGTTCAAGAGACTGGAGCATGAAAGAAAACAAAAATAGAATACAGAAAGACAAAACAGTAATTAATCTAATTAAAATAACAATAACTGCATCAAAACTGGAAAATGGAATAACACATGATTGCATTAAGCGTAGGTTTTTAGTCCAAAGAGACAATTTGCCCAGAAGGACTATTAATTTCGTTTTCGCATTTTTTGTTGATTCACTACAAGCGTTGTTTCACTTTTCAAATTGTTGGCATCAAATATTATCGACCTTTATTATATTTAAAGAGATTAAATATTGAATAATCTGCATAAATGTATGTATGTTTCTCTCATTGTGATAAAACAACGGTACCTAGAGACATCCAATTTTGAATGACGTAATCTCACTGCGAATATGGGCATCTGGAAGCCCAAATTTGAAATTCGGAATTTGATTTATTATCGATTTCATATTTTGTAAAACTAATAAATTTCTGATTAACAAACTCAAGGATTTCGAAGCGAGTAATGACGACATTGTACAGAAAAAATCATTTTTATCTCCAGCTCGTAAGACTGTGTATCGGAAATTCTAAAGATATGCCCAATTTAAAATTATTTTGCGATATTACTCTTAAACTGAATTTTATAGTTTAAGTGCGAAGAACATGATATTTAATAAATAAAGGTAACACACAATGTTAAAAAAAGCCCCTTTGGGAGTAATTTAAAATCTGAAACCTTTCAAATTTTCTTTTTTTTTCCTTTTATTTAGTCGCTTGTTATCAACTGCACCAACTCTTTAGCCACCCAATGTGGAATGTATATAGACTAAGGATCTTTTTAAAGATGTTAATAAATAAAATGCAATATAAATGTTTTACAACATTACTTGTACGAATGTTGCTTACATTTAATTATCCAACATGAAGCTATGTTTTAACCTAATCATCAGATTTAGCTTCAACAAAATGCCAATTCTCTACTAAATGAAAATTTAATTTTTCAAGATGCCAGTGTAAATATTTAAAAAATTAAAAGCCTTATCTTAAAATTTAAGTATTTATTTTATTCTTCTTAAACAGAAGGTAATGCTGTAACAGACATTAAATAAATATTTTTAATAAAATTAGTTTCGTCAAAAGACTCTAGATTCTGTACTTCTTCTAAAATATGGCTGAGAAATTTTCAAGAGACTTCCTAGAGGTTTTGAAACTTAAAAAAAAATATGCAATTATATAGGAAACTACTATAATATCATTCGAAATTTTTAACTTAAGTATAATAAATTATAGAAAAATTATAACAATGGAAGTAAAACTTAGTGACACTTTACTGAATGCTTTAGTCTATTTTCAGGTAATGCGTGTGTGCTCTTGAAAGTTCTTCAAAAACGCCTTCTTCCTTTTATACAGATAAGACCTCGTGTGCTTTGCCAGATTAAAAATAAACGAACTCTTAGTATTTGTCTTTGCGTCATTTCAACAAAAACTACAAGTTATTTTATAGCAACTGAACACTTACAAAAGTCATACCATACAACGCCAAAATTTTAAACTACATAAAATGTAAAAATTTATATTTTTCCAGACAGCTGAAAATCCAGAGAAACTGAGTAACGGTTCTTAGACAGGATTAAAGACAAACCAAATTAACGTTCCTTTTCAGAAAGAAAACAACAGGCATTACGGACAAAAGCTTTTTAGTATTTAGAAAACAACAGATGAGCTTAGACACTTTTCAAGGACTTACATGTCTTAATATGTTGATTAATTAGAGAATATAGCAAATTGTCTTTTAATACAATTCACTTAACGCACAAGACAGGACATATCATAGAATATCTAAATCATTTTACCATCATCCAGAGTTGCAAACACTGCCGAGATCAGGCTAAAAGCAAACACCAAGTGAAACTTCATACTTAGTTTAAGAAACAGTGTTCTAAAACGTAATTCGAAACCTATCTTCTACTGCTTATGAAATACTAAAACTTATCTGCATACAATACCTCAAAATCAGAACAGGCAGATATTTGATTAGTTTGCTCAATTAGATCTAATCATCGAAGTTCATAGTTTGGTTTAAAAATCAGCAGTGATTGCAAGTTTCCAAACGGTAAACAACAATTCAAAGAAACGCAGAGCCTGCTGAGTCTGGAGGAGGAGCGTGGAAATTTAAACAGCTGAGAACAAAAATGTGAAAAGAATTCAGAAGGCCTTGAATAAAAAGTAATAAAAGCTAAAGGTTTGATTCTTGCAAGTTGCATTCTTGCATGTCTCAAAATGTATCTAAGTAAAGGTGCTGAATAAGATGAAATTCAAGCAACATTCTGCAGCAAATTGATAAATATCTGTGGAGATAAAAATGACAGCACCTTAAGATAAAAATGATTACCTTCAAAAGATTAACCTTTTACAATTTTTTCTAAGAAGAAACAAAAATATTCATAAATTGCTAAATACAGGAATTATAAATGTAGCACATAATATAATTTTTAATTTGTTAAATTTAAAAATGGTCTACTTAGTTTTATTAAAGCTAAATTCATCAAATACAAATTTAAGAAAATCTCGGAGTTTAATTTTAACCACCAGAGATGATAATTAAGAAGAATTAATGACACCGACTAAGAAAATTTTAAAGGAATATTAAAATTTTTTGCAAGTTATTTCCTTCTGTCAAGATGCAAGTGAATTAAAATAACTTAAATTCAAGCTTGATTGCATCGAAGGATTATCTCAATACCCTGAAATGAAAGTTAGTTTGTGTTCTAAAAAGATAAATAGATACAGTTAGTCAATAAAGTCTGCGTACATCAAGAAAAGTAATATCAAATCCAAATTTTAAGGTGCGAAAAGGGTAGTTTCTTAAAGTTTTATTTTTTAAATATTTAGTTTCAATAAGGGACTTTGAAATTATTTAACTGTAATAATTTCATATCTAATAATTTATGCACACTAATTTTTAAAAGATAAGTGGCCAGAAATCAAAGCCAATAAAGTTTGCGTACAACGCGAAGGAGGCGAGGGATTTCTTATCTAACTTTTAAAGTTCAAATTTGAGAATGCAAAGATTGTTACACTTTCAAGTCATTGACTTCCGAAGCAAATTTCACGTTGATTGGAAGTTGCTATTTCTATTTTCTTTGACGAAAATGACAAACAATAAAGAAATTCCTTTAGTTACGAGACAACTAGTTATCAAATTGAGAGATGAAGGTAAAACTCTTCGTTATATTGATAAAACCATTGGAAAACCATTTCCTAGTGTGCAAAGAGTTATTCAAAACTATCTTGACACTGTCTGGTAGTCTTGCTGTAAAACCAAGATGTGGGAGACAGAAGAAGCTAACGCTGAGAGAAGAAAGAAAAATTCTTTTTACGAATTAAACAAAATTTTAAACTTTCTGCTGCAAGCATTGCAAAAGACATTTTTTTAACTAGCAACAAGGAAATTTCTCCTGAAACTGTACGAAAAGTGCTGCGAAAGTCCTATTATCATGGACGCAAACCTAGGTCTAAGCCATACATTTCCGAGACAAATAGAAAGAAAAGAATTGCTTTTGCCAAAACATATTTAAACTCTTCGCAGCAATTCTGGAACGATGTAATTTGGTCAGATGAAAGTAAATTAACAATATTTAAAGTTAATGGCCACCCTATTGTATGGAGAAAACCAGGAACAGAACTGAATCTGAGAAATTTAAATCCAACTTTCAAACATGGAGTTGGCGGTGTGATGGTATGGGGGTGTATGTCGTCGAAAGGAGTTGGAAATTTTCACATTATTGATAAAGTCATGGATAAGTATGTTTATTTGGATATTCTGAAGAAAAATCTACGAGACAGTGCCCGAAATTTAATCTTTCTAATACCTTTATTTTCCAACAAGAAGACGACCCGAAACATTGTTATGTAGAGAAATTATCTGATAGCGTTATAAAAATTAGGTGAATGATTTTATGATTTATGGAAATTTAAATTTTATTTTGATTCTGAATTATTTATTTTAAGGCTTTAATTTTGGGGAAAAACAGATGCTTCTGGAAATATTATTTAGTTTAAATGAATATTATTTATTTTCTTTTATTTGCAAATCTTGTACAAACTTTTATTCATTGTGAAAGAAGCAGGGAAAGGGAGGCAATTTTTTGCCAAGTCATGATTTCGCGCGCTTTGTCCTTTAGAATGTTCGAGAAAGAATTTTCATTGTTAGTTGACCTTAAGAGAGGAAAGTACGTGACAGAAAGGTCAAAGGTTGCTACTTGTCTTTCAATGTAAATCATTCAGGTTTTTGGCGATTGAGGGTCCGGTTGTTGGCTAAGTGAAGAAAGGCGCGCATGCGGGATCACCCTTATTTCCGCATTCAGGGATTGAAAACGAAGATTTTGCAAAAATTAAGGGGGCGATAAGTGAAGCCATAGTGGGAGCCCGTGTTTGTGAAGGAGACGAAGGAAATTCGAGTTGGATTCACTCTCTGTCTCACTGATTTTTGGGCTGAACTGGACTTAGTGGACGTTACTCTTGAAAACCTGGCTTGAAAGCGATAGATAAATGTAATTTGACGAACGAGAGAGGTTTTCCGGCGGGGAGCGGCAAATATGCTCCCCGGCCTCGTTTTGAGTTAAGAGGCGACTCTCTTACGCACTCACTCTTGGACTCGCTGACTTTCGGGCTTGCTGGACTTGTGGACGTTGCTCTTGAAAACTGGCTTGAAGGAAATTCGAGTGGGATTCTCTCTCTTACTGACTGGCGGGTGGAACTTACTTGGGACGTTACTCGTGAAGCTTGCTCTTGGGATGAGTAAGAACAGGCGAGCCGTAATTGCCTAGAAAAAACGTTTCTGACCTGAAGCTGAAAACCCTCTTCCTTGCGGCGTGCTGGTAAAGAGGCGAAATTTGAACGAGTTACCTGCGTGTTGACATAGGACTTTCAGGACCAAGCGGATAGCCGTCCTGGGCAGCAGTGCTCCTGTTTCTGTTCTCCAGTGGGAATTGGCGCGACATTTTTAGAACCAGTGTCAAGATGAGCCCGACCGACATCAACGCTTGATAAGATACGAGTCCTCCACTTCAAGATGTCCCCTCAAGATAAGTTTTATTTTTTTGGTGTGTTTGAACTTTAGGCAAGTTTTTCAAAAACGTCCTTAGCAGTAAAACCAACGTCGAATCTAAAATTTAACTCTCAGGCCTTAAATTGTTTCCCTTTCCTTTCTTTTAAATTACCAGACAAACCTTAAGTTTTTTTTTTATGAATTTAAATGAAAAGACTCTCAGATGAGGTTAAGATTTTTCTTATTGTGATGTAATTGAATAAACTGATATTTAATCTGGAACCTCTTACAGTATGTTTTCTTTATATATTTAATATGTTTTTTTTTATATTTCTTGTATATGTTTTTTCTTAGGTTTTCGATCCTCTCACGGCGCGGTCCCGGGATGCATTTTTTTCACAACGCATAAATGCTGTACACGTTTCACTATACGATCACTAAAATTTTGATAGTTGGCAAATTCTTAAGGGTTTAGTTTTCCTCCCTAAGAGGAAGTAGAAACCTTTTCACGGTAAGTAGTTTCATATTTAACATTTAACATATAGGAATTTCAGATATAACATGGTACCTTGAAGTAAAGCTATTTAACCTTGGTGTCGAAACTTTTCTTCATAACATTGGTGCCGTGACCTCTGCTTAGTGAAGGATCGAATCAGTAACTTATTTTTTGAATTTATTTACTTTGTATAACTCACTGTTTTATGAAGGAGTTAAATTTTATGTGCTAGGATTAATTAGAGTTTTTGATTTGTGTTTGCTTATTTGTTAATACGAGAGTGATAAAGTTTTGAAATGTGTGTGAATTTCAGGAATTTGGACTTTAACGTTAGGCAAACAGAATTGAACTTTAAAATTAGGAAAAATATATATATTTTTAATGTAGCAGAATAGGTACTGTACATTCTTACTGTTGAAATCCTTGAGTGTTTTCTGGATGTGTATTTTTGATTTTCGACGTACTGATTTATGATACAAGATGGAAAATGAATTATTTCACGATAATCCTATGCTATTTGTATATCCTTGTAACAAGTTTCGAGTGCTTGTCGGTTTAAAAACTGGACTCATTTTTTGAGCACTTCTAAGAGAAAGAGATTAAAGACTCTAATTTTATTAATTTTACTGAATGAGACAAGCCATAGCTATGCGTAGCTAGAAATTTTTTTGTGTGTTTTTGCTACTTATTTAACCTAGAATCTTGTGAAATGTGTAATTTTGAGGGGTAACGTTAGAGAAATTTTGATTTTTTTGACTTGATTGAATAATATTTTGTGAAATGTATGTAATGTTTGCATAATTATCTAGCGTGGTATATTATTACTTTTTGATTTACAATGTTTTGTTATGATTCCAGTATATTGTGTAATGTGTTAGAAAATTTAAATTAGTATTGAGCAATGAATTTTATAAGTTCTTAAGACATAATGATACAAATGAATGAGTTAAAAAAATTGTAGATTGTTTTTCAATTGCCAAATTCTGTTTTAAAGTGAACATGGGTTAGATTTGGATTTTTGCCTGAGATCAGCAATAGTGATGTTTGGTTATTTAATTTTTTTTTGGATTGAATTCTTCAGCTTGAGTGAAGTTCTAATTAGTTTAATGAGTCAGAGTAATTGAGATTAGTTATCTTCTGAGGTTTAAGTTTGTGAAGAGTTGTCATGTGAGAATTGTTTAAACAGTAGAAATTTAGTCTTGTGAATTGTAGAAAGTGAAGTTTAATGAGAATTTTGTGACAACGGGAATTTGTTTTGTGAAAATTTTTTGAAATAAGTTTGAGAAGATTAGTTACTTTTGCTCTGTACTCATGTGTGGGAATTTTCTGTTGATTACAAGTAGTTTGTCTTGAATTTGCTAGTGAATCGTAATAGATTTGATTTGAGTTAATGAATTTTCTTTCTTGGTTGG